AGAAGCGCCTCTCGCTTCGCCGCTGGCATGGACCAGCTTTGCTTGTTGCCCTGGAGGGACACACATCAGGATATGTGTCGTTCAAGGGGCAGTTGACAAAGTGCTCAAGAGAACATCTGAGGTTGGCATCCAGCATGGAACAAATCAGTGCAGATGTGTGGCATGATGCCATCAGAGATTGTGTGGAGTCAGCGCTTCACGATGCTCGCAGGGATCCTCAAGCTCCCGCGACACCCTTACCGATAGCTGCACCTCCCACACCTTCCAGACCTTCGAGTGCACCAGCTCTACCACCGGTGCCTGAGGAGTCAGTTGAGGAGTTGCCGCCGGTTGCACCAGTTGACCTGCTGCAAGCGTTGGACAACGGCAATCCCGAGCCGTTGGCACTTCCAGGAAGTGGCAGTTTGAGCAGGAGGGCATCGACATTGTCTTCTTTTGGAGTTGGCTCTCAACCAGCTTCAGTTCATGCAGCCCCAGGGACGCCAGTGCCTGCATTGATTCGACAGGCAAGCCAAGTGGCCCCACAGACACCACCTGTCAGCTCTCGTATGGAGGCAGCAATTGATGATGCCCGGGAGTTGGAGGAGGAAAGCAGTTCCAGGAAGAGGACGGCGGAGGTGGACGCTGAAGCGCTTCGTGAAGAAGGGAGAATGGAGACCACAGAAGGTCATTCCGTTTTAGTGACCACTGCACTCGTCCAGAATGTGCTGAAGACAAAGAATGCCTTGGTGTCGGAGTTTGCCAAAGCTCCAGAGAATGCCAAGGTCCCTGAGAGCGATGTCGTGTCTCCTCACAAAGACACGCTGGAGGAGGACTTCATGCGTTCAAAGATTCACCCACTCCGTTTCATCCAGGAGTTGGTGGAGAAAGACAAACGAGATCCAAATATGAGTGAAGTTGTTGACCATGGCAGTTGGTCAGGCCGATGGCCCTTGCCTTCACGCAGTAGCTGGCAGGCTCACGAGATCACATGCAGCTTGTGGCCATGCAGCGAGAATGAAGTGAATGCTGCCAAGACCGCTCGCCGTGAGGTGAAGTGGAAACAAATCCCAGAGCATGAGAAGGCAGAGTATAGAAAAGCAGCGGAAGCTGGATGGAAGGTGCAGACAGACAACTTCGCTTTCGAACCACTCAGCGAAGAAGAGTCAAGCAGAGTCCGTTCCAAGTTACGAGACGCTGGAGAACTCAACAAGATCTTGCATCCTCGGTTCATTTACACCGACAAGAATGACGGGAAGCGGTCTGCATCCACTCCGATGCCACTTCTGGCAAATGCTCGGCTTGTGATCCCGGGCTATCAGGACGAAACTGCATACACAGTTCGAAAAGATGCGCCCACCAGTTCGAGGAGCTCTCAACACATTTTGTTCGTTACAGCTGCAAGCAAGGGATGGACATTGTGGTCGGCTGACATCAAGAGCGCCTTTCTCAAAGGCGAGTTGTTTGCTGAAGGAGAGCGGGAACTTTACATCACCAACATCCGTTGCCAATCGGAGGATGAGCCTATGCTACCGTTTGGCAAGACATGTCTGGCAAAAGTTCGCAAAGGCGTATGCGGACTAGCAGATAGTCCAAGACGTTGGTATTTGAGGTTGCACCGGTCGCTGACCAATCTCGGCTGGATGAGGAGTCAGATGGATGCAGCACAGTGGTTCCTCTATGATGCCAACCAGTGCCTTCACGGGATCTTAGTATCCCACGTGGATGATTTGTTGATGGCAGGTTCATCGTGGGCAAAGCAAACTCTTGACCAGTTGGGCAAAGAGCTTGGTTTTGGAAGCCTGGAAACAGGTTGTTTCAACTATTGTGGGAAACAAGTCAAACAATTTGCTGACAAAACAATTGAGGTGAGCATGCAAGCTTATCATGAAAATGTACAGCCAGCAGTGGTGCCGATCCATCGGAAGAAGCAGTTGGACAGCACTCTCACCCCAGGCGAACATCGCCAGTTGCGAGCATTGTTGGGCAGCCTGCAGTGGCTTGTGACTCAAGTCAGGTTTGACATGAGCTACCACCTCTCCGTGCTTCAAGGAGAACCTCCCACAGTTCGGACCTTGCTCAGGGCCAATGCGTTGGTACGGCTCATGAAGAAAGACTCTGGTTTCAAACTGAGATTCCCTAAGCTGGATTTGACAGATGCAGGAATTCTGGTGATAACAGATGCTTCGCTTGGAAACGTTACTCGCAGTGGCGGATCTGAAGGAAGTGTTTTCACAAAAGTTTTCAGTCAAGCAGCTTATTTAGTGTTGGTTGGAGACAAAGAGTTGATGGCCGGCCGCGAAGGTCAGTTTGCAGTAATAGATGGTCGCAGTCACCGCCTCTCTCGCGTGTGTCGAAGCACGTATGGGGCAGAGTAGTTGGGTTCAGAAGAGGCATTTGATGTGTCTCTTTACAGCAGAGGCTTGTTTGCCGAATCCAAAGGATTCGATGTGCTGGACCGCAAGGAGGCATACAATGAACACATTCCAGTTCTGCTTGTTACAGACGCCAAGGACGTGTTCGACAAAACCTCCAGCGATACACCAACATACGGCTCCCAGAAGAGTTTAGCCTTCACCGTTGGCTGGATTCGAGAGGTGCTCCGAAAGGCCAGAACTTCCATTGCATGGACAGCAACGGAAAACATGGTCATAGACTGCGGCACAAAGGAGATGTCCACAGATCATCTCCGGGCTGTTCTGGAAAAAGGGCATTGGAGCGTTACTTACAATCCCAGCTTCGTCAAACAGACGGCGAAATCCAAGCGAGCTCCAAGACAGTTGGTTTGCAGCTCCTCCCTTCCAGGTAGAGTTTTGAGCGGAAGCGATCCAGTTGTCAGCCATTTAATGAAGCTGGCAGAGCAACCCGGATGGCACTTGAAAGGGTCCACAGGGATCCATGTGTGCAGAGCAGCGAAGTCGCTTCGCCTCGGTGCTCCTAGGTTCAGCCCCACGGAATACCCACTTAGATCCACCTACGGGCGTTTCGACACGGAAGAACAAGGGGAATGGAGAATCTTAGAGGACCGGGGAGAGCATCGCACGCCGCGTTTGATCGGCGACACGGCGGCAGTGTTGGTCACGTTTTTCCACAGCCTAGAATCTCCGCCTCTGAATCAACAAAAAGATAGGTCCACTGTGAAAGATTCCTTGATTCAGGGCTGAAGGATTGATGTGTTCCACCGCGGCCGTTTCCGTTCACTTTCAGGCCTTAGCCATACTTTCGTGCTACGCATAGCTGGCAAAAGGGCGCCCTGTCTCGCTTTGACAATAATCATACCCTGAGGATCGAAAGTTAGCTCTATATGCTAACATTTGGGGTTGTGTCTTCTGGGGCTCTCCGACCTCACCCTGTGAGGTCCGACCTCAAAAAACGAGATCATACCAGAACCCCAAAACCACAAAACCACAGAACCCAAAAACCACAAAACCAACGATCCCAAATTCGATTTCGTCACGGGTTGTCACGCTGGAGTCCGACAATGACATCATTTCTAAAGGGACAAAATAGACCAATCACGGTCTGTCACGGTTCGTCACGCCCTGGTATGCTTGGTTCTTGGGATTTCATGGTCTTATCCTCCGACAATGATACTGGAATTGTATATACATTTCAGGTACCCCAATCTGTGATTCGACAACGTCTTCAAATAACACGATCAATAGAAATGTATGCATATCCTGAGATCATTTCTATTTGTGACCTATGTGTGGTCATGGATCGTCAGGGATATAATCATATAATCATATACCATTATCATCAGCAGCAGCAGCAGCAGCAGTCTTGGGCAGTTACAGACTTGAACAACAGTTGCCAAGGGGTTGGCGTCCAGCTGCAGTCATTTCCCATCCAAAGCATCATGAGCTACAACAAAACCTGGCTGAGTGTGGGTTACAAGCCTCCAGTTTCAGGGATCGTAAGGAAATGTTCTATGATTTTCTACACCTCTCCAGCGCATCCAGCGATCATAAGGATCCGGGCAACGCTCCAAAGTCGACCCCAACAGCGCTCCATCGAATCGGAGGGCTTCGCCCGCCCAAAGCCCGAAATCGGAGGCAAGCCTAAGTGAGCAACATTCCAACCACGGGAAATAGAGCAGAAGGTATGAGCTGCCTTCAATCCTGGAGAATTTGCAACAACCCAATGAAAGCGATGGCCCTTCCAAAAATCCATGCCCTACCAGAACATATTACCAGCACGTGAAGGATGAACATGTTGCAAGTGCATTTGTGTGTATATTAAAAAGCAAACTATTAATTTGTTTAACATGTGCTTTTCTTACATAGGAGCTGCTTGATTTGAAAGGTAGTTCCACGTAAGAACCTCCTGAAGCGACACCCTTAGCCGCCTTAGCGATACCCTCGATCATGCCAGTCCACCACTTTTTCACTTAAACATAATAAGGTTTGTTGGCTACCAACAAAGATGTTGCGGATTGTTGCAGTAACAGTTTGGTGAATACTTTTAGCTGCTTGCAAAGCTCTTCTAGGTTCTTCTTGTGTCAGCTGAGCTTTGCTGTTACTTACCTCCGAGTGAGTAGAGTGAAGTTTGTTTGTTTGTCTAACTTGTTTGGTTGTCTCCTTTGAGTACTTGTGCTCAAACATACACTTGCTTGGTTGAAGCTTGCCTTTGACTCACGGACTGCGATGCCTCCCTTCCAAGCTCGATGGGGCCCCCCGAACCTACGTGATGGCATGTTTGACAGAACAAGGCGGTGAAGAACAGCCGCACTGCGGTGGATAACTGCCAGTTGTTTGGGAGAATCTCAAGAGTCATGCCCAAAGAGTAGAGGTTGATGACCTGGATTTTCCCAGTGACCGAACTTGATCCCCTGGTTGGTTCGGTCACAAAAAGGCTTGTAGGTTCGGTCACTGGGAAGGTCCTGGGACAGATCTTGTTCTTGAAATTTTCGGGGTCGGCCCTTCGTTGTCACGCACCGCTTCGACCCCCCCACCGATCGTCCGGACGAGCGCGCGTCGGGGCTCCTCGAGCGACGGACCAGTCCGCGGTCCGCTCCGCAGGTGGTGCTGCCGAGCGGCCGTTCTTGTGAAGTGAAGTTGTCGAAGCAGTGTACCGTGCTGGAGCTGAAGGTGTGCCGAGCGGCGTGGATGAGGGCGCGTAGTGAATCAGGGCACGGCTGAGGTGGAGAAACGGCAGGCTTTTTCAACGGCTACTCTTGAAGTCCCAAATGCATTTACATAGACATGTGACATGGGTGTATGTATTAGGACCATCCTGGTTGGCTGGCCAGGACAGTCCTGATATGTCATTAGTGGATCTCCCAAGCCAGCGACGGTCTCGGATTGTTTGCTCAACGATCAGGTGGCGGCTCAACGGCTCTTGAACCAGAACTTGCTCAAGCTGCTTTATGCTGGCACTCTCCTCGATGCTTCAGCCCAGCTTTCCTCACTGGGCTCGCTGCATGGGGAGACTCTGCCGCTGGGCGAGTGGCGCGGACCGTGCCAGACGAGAGGTGGGAGGTACAGGAGGTACATATGGATTAAGTGCTATGAAGAACATTGAAGAACCAGGTGATTCACCCATCCATTTCTGGGTTTGCGAGCCAAACGGCAGAGGAACGCCCTTGTTGATGAGAGGCACCTCATCTTGGGCAAGGCTTTTCCGTGTAGCTCAAGCTTCAGCGCCCAAGAACGGAAACACACCAGCAAATTTGTCGTTTGCTGTTGTCCAACAAGCTCCACCACCAGGTATGTAGATTCTTTATGATAGAGTGGATCACAGGCATTGGGAGCCTGACCACGCCAAAGTGTTTGTATTTTGCTAGATGAACCTACCATGGCAGAATCCCCCGATGCGAAGCAGAACTCATGCTTTTCAGGGTTGAAAAGTGTTTACCCTCTTGTCAAGGCTCCAGTCCAATTCCAAGAATGATCAAGCCCCTCCATGAATCATGAAAGCATGGGATTTGGGAACGGGAAACCACGGTCTATTTGGAGATGGTGAAATGCAATCCCACGACAAGTGGTGCATGGAAAGCCTGTTTTAGGGATGGATCAGTAGTTTAGCCATGCACTTGAAGCAACATGGTCCAAATCGTTCACCTCAAACATTGTAATAGTGTGCGTTTGAGTCATCTTGAGAATTCCTCATCCCCACCCCAACAAACGGTATATTTTGCACCACCACCCATGAATCTTTCAGTGAAAAAGACCAGCGATTCAGACCAGCCTCGGGCGAAGGGACCTGTGGCAAGTGGTGCAACCGACCTCAGGAACGCTGTGGTGCAAGTGGTGCAAATCACCGCGACGCGCGAGGCCTTTGCACTGTGGTGCCACGAGGGCGGCCTCATCACCTGGGGTCATCCGGGTTGAGCCTTGGAGCTCGGAGAAGACAGACTGACCTGGGTTGAGAGTGTCGACTCACTGGCTGAAAGGGTGCCTAAGTACCTACCAGCGGCCTCCAGTTGTCCCATTGAAGAAAATTAAGGTTTTTCACAGCCAAAAAAACATGTGTTTTGCTTGGACATCCAGGTGTTTGATGATTTGTGAGAAAATGCCTACATATAGGATGGGCACTTGTACCATCATGGCTCAGGGTACCTGATGGTACCTGGAACATCCAGCAATAACATGCAATAACCATGTCTTGATGTCACATCTTTTTCAGTGGCTTTCTCTATCAAGATCTATTGGGTTTAGGATATTTTAGGATGAGTGTTTTTCACGCTTTCAACCAAGCTCCCACATGCTTGTCAGATCCTCACGCCATTCTAGCGCCACCTCAGGCGGTGGCCTGCTCCCCCTAGAGCTTCGCCCTTTGCAGCGTGTGCGGCGCGTGGTGGCCTCGTTCCACACCTTTGCGGCCATCGTTGGGGAGGGAGAGGTCGTGACCTGGGGTCGCTTGGAACGCGGACCTCGCCGCTGGATCGGATTTGAAGAATGAAGGACTCCTGAAGGACCTGAAGAAGTGCAGAACATGTTTTCAAAAAAAGAGGGGAGGATGTTTTTGTTGACCTGGAGAACTAGGTAAACGGATCGGCTGTGTTTTGGATGGGAGATGCCTGTTGTTTGACCTTGGGGTAGTCAGTGAGGAAGGAGTTGTTGTGTTTCTTGCGACGTTTGGTGCCAAGGGTCTACAGATCAAATCTCTGACTTGCGAAAAGGCAATATTACTGATGTGAGGGGTGGTTTGTGGGGGTTGGATGCTATTGGGCCTTCGTATTTGTAGAAGGTTGCAGGTAAGCTCCTTTGCCTCATTGAGTAATTGAGCAGTGTTTTGCATGATCAACTTCAGTCAATCGAATTCTTTTACATGTAGGAAGGGCTTCAAGAAACCACAAGAAAAGGCCTCTCGTCAGAAGCTGATTTTGGCGTTCGCATGTTGATCGATTTCACGTCGAGCCATGTGGAGCCCGACTGGCTGCATCGGACATCAATGATTTTTATATGGTGCCGCTGCGATGTCGCAGGGCATCAAACAGCACATGGCTCATCTTTAAAGGGCTCTTTAAGCAGTCAGCCAGTGTCGACAATTCGGTTTCCACGGATCAACAAGCAGTCGGATCTCCCGAAAGTACCTTCAACGCCCCTGCAAAAAGAGCCAAAACCAGCCATGTTTGAAGGTGGGACACGGATCCGGACCCTCCAAACCTGCAAGGTGAAGCCACCTCAAATCCTCCAAAGCACCATGGAAGCCAGGAATGGACCTGAATTCAATTCAAAGCTCGTCCGATTTTGAACGTTACGTTTCATCATTCTGGGTTGTAACGTGGTTGTAACATCAAAACCGAGCTCCACTGTGAGACATGCTGACGAGGAAGTTCAGGCGTTTTCAGCTGCTCAGTGCTGTCCGCGACCCAGGCTATGGCCGCTGCGCCCCGCCAGAGCCCATCCTTGACTGTGTCGAGGTATGTGCTTCGGGCGCTGCTTTCGCTGCGCAGCGGCGTACGGGCGAGGCGAGGACGATCTGTGGCAGAACTGGTGAGTGTGGAGAGAGAGAGAGAGAGTGACTTGCCATCCATGGATTTGTTTGATAAACTGATGGCGGCAACTGCCGTTTTTCAGACGGTGTCACTATGATTCTTTCCAGTGACTAGCCCTTATATTCGGATACCCGTTTGCTGCGCCCAGTTCAACGAACTTGACCACTCGGTAGAGCCGTGAAGATTGTTGGCCATACAAGGTTTGACCGTTGTTTGAATTAGGGGTTGTCCCATTACCTATAAGAGCCAGTAAACAATTATCACATATATTATCACAATGTTTGAACAAGGCCTGTACTAACCGTCATCATTTGTTACTGGTAATAGGATAGCCCCAAGTTTGAAGGATTATTTTTGGTTTGTCAATTCCCAGGGACTCCATGTATACCATATATGCCTAGAATTAGCGTGGTTTGAGGCGTCAATGTAGGCATATATGACATACATGGAGTGTTTGGGATTGATATTTTTGGTTTTTGGCCAGATGCTTATCAAGGTCAGCCCAGTCAATGCCAAGACCCTGAGAGTCCGCTCGACTAGCCTCATCGATACTCGCCCACTGCGAGTCGAGCTCGACACGACACGAGCTCCACCCTGTGACCAGGTGGTGACCTGGGGTGAAGCTGACTTTGGAGGCGACAGTTCTCAGGCGACCTCGATGGGTCTGGCACTTTTGAAGGTCAAACTTGTCTTCCTGCCATGGAAGACAAAGATATACTAATACCCACTCGTCAGAGTGAAGGGCGATTTTAGGTGCTGACACCCAACAAATAACAAAGGGCCAGCGAAGGGAGGGAAATAATGAGGAGATGCAGAGTGCGAGGCGTTGCCGGGGGGGGGGGCAGTGGTCGTCAGTGTTGTTGTTGTGGTAGCAGGGTAGCAAGCAGCAGGAGTAGAAAAGGAGTAGTAGTAGTAGTAGTAGTAGTAGTAGTAGTAGTTGTTGTTGTTGTTGTTGTTGTTGTTGTTGTTGTTAGAGACAAAAACAGCTGCCCAACATAGTTGTCACATGTTGCAAGTCAGGAATTTCAAAGGGACACTGTTAGGGATAGGGTCGAAGGTTTGGAGAGATGTTAGTAGCTGGACTTCTTGTCGTTGTGGTACTCAAGTCTTGGTTGGTTTGTTTCTTGTTTGTTGATGTTTTTTGAGGTGTTGTTTTGGGGGGCTGCAGATGTTGTTTCTAGGGGGTGAAGACAACAACATGTTTTGAGGGGGGATCGAAAAAAACAACAACGGTGCTGCAGTTTTTGTCTCTAAGATGTGGTAGAGGTTCTAAGTAGAAGTTTTACAGAGGCTTAGCTGACCGGCTGCTACTACTGGTATTACTAGGCTACTACTACTTCTACTACTGCTTCTACTACTACTACTACTATTATCACTACCACTGCTACTACTACTACTACAACTACAACAACAACAACTACTACTACTACTACAACTACCACGACTACCACCACCACCACCACCACTACTACTACTACGACCACCACCACTACTACTACTACTACCACTAGTACTAGCACTAGTACCAGCACTGCCACTACTGGCAAAAGTACATGTTGGCTGGTTGTTTTCGGGTGGGGTCAGAAAACAACGACGGGGCTGCAGTTTTTGTTTGTACCTTGTTGTTGTTGATGATGTTATTGTTGTAGTAGCAATAGCAGCAGCAGCAGCAGCAGGTGGTTGTCGGAAGCAGACGCCCAAGGCGGCACTTTTGGCATTGTGTTGCTAAGTTTCCTCTTCCATTCATTCTTTATTGTGCGGAAAAAAACGTCGTAAAGCACAGGATATCGCGTGGTCGCTGCTCCCAACTTGCTCCACATGAGCCTGGAGCTATCAAGCGGCTCGGTACCAAAGCGCCCTGCTGAGCCAATGGAAGACATTGTGATGAGAGGCGAGCATCCCGCAGCTCACCAGGAAGACCGGTGCAGTAGCGACCGGGCGGCGTCAGCATCCACCCTCAGGTCACTGTCGGTCACCGTCATCACGGCGGCGCCGGGCGGTGAAGAAGGGGTCCAAGGACGGAGGTTGAGCAAGCAGCTTTGAGGGCAGGTGTCCATGTGAAGGAATCCGATAATCAACCAGTCGTTTTTGAAGCTCCAAAGGAGGTGGAATGTTGGAATTCCAGTGATGACGCTGGCGATGCAGAGGTTTGTTTGCCTTATTTGTTTGCTTGTTTCATATTCTGTTCATGTGTCCTTTTACTTGATTGTCTTAATTGGCCCTATGTCCTTTTACTATGTTCCTTGCAATTTGTTTGCAGCGGCTGCCTTCTCTCCCTTCTTGTCTCCGTACTTGTCTCACTCGCCTGCCTGTGTGATCAGCGTTTTGTTTGCCCATGATGGCATATCATATCTTCTAACTTCTTTCCATTTGTCCTTTTTCTTGTCTTAGTTGTCTGGCTGTTCGCCTATGTTCCCCACGTTTCGTCTGCCGCGTCTGCCTTGTCTCGTGCCTGTGTGATCAGCGTTTTTCCGGTGCTGGTTATCTTCATACTTCTGTCCACTTGTCCTTCTACTTACTTGCCTATGTTCCCCGCGTTTTGTCTGCCGTGGCTCCGTGATCAGTGTTTTGTTTGCCGTTGCTGTTTTCAGCAGGAGCCTGGCCAATGACTTACTTTGCTGCTTGGACTTGTGGTGCCTCGAAATCCTCTTTGTTTTGGCATTGACCTGCCATAGCGGTAGGCGCTTTGTGGCCCGCAGCTGCGAAGAAGTAGCATGGCCGCTTTTGGGCCTTTTGCCGTATTGATTTGACATGACTTGAAACCAGGAATCAGCATCACATGTGCCGTTTGGGGCCCACGCACATGTTATGCACTTATAGCCTTGTTCAGCCCAGTTTGGCTCTATACTAGCTGCATGTGCAGGAAGTATACAACTCATTGCACAGCGGCCAAGGACAAACGTCATAGGCAAGCACAAATCAAAAAGATACATTGTGTTTGTTTTGCCGCCGCTGCCGCTGGCTTGTTTCCCCCATTGCCATTGGTCTCTGTAGTCGTCTCCCTGTGTGTTTGCCTGTGTGATCGGCGTTTCGTTTGCCGGTGCTGCCTTATCTTCGTCCTTCTTTCCATTTGCCCTTCTACTTGTCTTAGTTGTCTGTTGTTTGCCTATGTTCCCCGCGTTTTGTCTGCCGTGGCTGCCTTGTCTCCTTTTCTTGTCTTTGTACCTGTCTCACTTGCCTGCCTGTGTGATCCGCGTTTGTTTGCCGTTGCTGTCTCGTTTCCCTTCTTGTCCGGTTTTTGTTTGCCGACGCTTCCTTGTCTTTCCATTGGTCTCCATAATTTTCTCCCCGCTTGTCTGCCTGTGGGATCTACGTTTCCTTTGGCGATGATCCCTTATCTTCTAACTTCTTCCCATCTGTCCTTTTTGCTTGTCTTAGTTGTCTGCTGCTTGCCTGTCTATTCGCCTGTGTCCCCGCGTTTCGTCTGCCGCGGCTGCCTTGTCTCTGTACTTGTCCCACTTGTCTGCCAAGGGCTTCTGCCCGATAAAATTCACGAACCCCTGGGCTTTCTGGACCCTGAAGACCGAGGCCAATAGTTTCTTGGCCTTTGGATGTCCAGTGTAGTAACCAATACGTACCTACTGTCAGTAATATATAGGTGTGGGTATAGGTTCATACATGTCGTGGTTCATCGCTTACCCCAAGGTTGGCTAGGTTATGCTAGGCCTTTGAGGGCGATCAACCGCCGACGATTCCATGGCAACCATGAAGTGCCAACCACGTGTTGACTACCAATTGACCTTCACGAATGGAGCCAAACGTAGTCTACCAAAGGTCCGCCAGGTCCGCCTTCAAAATCTCAAATTTGATCTTGTTTGCCCTCCAAAGCATCGCAGCTAGAGGGGCCACCAGCCCCCAGGCGGCGTCTTGTGGCTACAAGCACCAGCATCCGAGGGCCCCCGGCATTGCAATAGCTTCAAGTGGTGCTGCTGGTAAACATTTTTGAACCGCTCGGCGTGCCCCAAGAGAAGTTTTTTGGCCCCATGCCCATACGGGTTCGAAATTACAGACTTTGATTGCATCCCCCCCGGACGAACTTGGGGGTCGGCGGTCGCAAGCCAAGCCCTGTCCCGGCTGCGCTCACGCACACGTTCGTCATCGGGGTCGGCGGATGGACCGGTGAAAGAACGGGGCCCGCACTCAAACGCAGTGCCTGCAGGGCGGCGCCTTTCGCCCTGTTGGGTCCCGCATCGCCAGGTGGAAACGGAGCTGCGCGAGGTCGTCCGCCTCCAAGCCTCCGAGGGCGCCTTCGCCGCCGTGTGCGGCGCCGAGCGGCGCGTGGTGGCCTGGGGGCATCCAGACTTTGGAGGTGCAAAGGGGGCGGAACTTGGTTTTGTTCGGAGAGTTTGTTGTTCAGCCCGAACTTGATCATATGCCCCTTCTGAGGGGATATGCTTCTGAAGCGCACCCGGCTGAAGCAAATCCTGAAGATGTGGGACTTGGTGGCCGTGGTTCCTTTCTCGAAATCTAGATGACAGAGAGCCTATAGAAGTCTTGAATGTGGAGAGTTTTCTGTGCAATTCCGGATCCCAAATCTTCACGCCCCGGAGGTGTGACACCACTGGAGGCGATGCAGCCAGTGAAAGAGGTGGGGAATCCAAATGCCTCCATGTAAGGCAATACCGACCAATGGATTTGACCTTAATGTATATGACTAACTGCCAAAACCTTCGATGAAGGCAACATCACTACGGCGAAGACAAAGTAAGTCAAAAGATGTTAAATGAGGGAATCCTTCAGGAACGAGAAGGTTCACAAGAAAAACCAATTAGATGTTGTTAGGTGTGTCCAAACCCTCAGGAACGATAAGGTGCACACAAAAAGCGATAACGTTGGGAAGAGCACGCGCTCCAACACGCAAAAGGTTTTGCACCTCGCTCATGTAATTAATTACAATATAACAATATGCGCAATAGATATGCGTGCATGAAGGGTTTGTGGAATGAGATGGACGAATAGAGGATTGTTCACTCTTGGAAGCATGCACTTGGTATGTGGGTGGTGAGCCATTGGGCATGCGGCGTCGCAGTTTTCATGTTTTGAAGCTACTGGTCGTGGCCATTTGCTTGGGCGGTTGGACTCGGCTGAATGGACTTGTTTGGGCGGAAGAGATGGGCGGAAGCGGAAGACCATGTTTGGTCGGAAGATGGTACCAAAGGGTCCAGTTGATCTGTGGCGATTCAGGGAGAACCTTTGACAAATATAGGGCACATGTTCTGTGCTTCAGACGTTCAATAGATCAAATCCTTGTTGGATTTGTCCTGGGGCAAGTTGCTAAAGGAGTCATAGTACGCCAAAAGGTTTGCTTTGTCTCTAGATTGTACGGGGTCCCAAAATGGCTGGGCCCGGGGTCATTTGGTTTCGCTTGTTTCTTGTGGGGGCAGGAAATTACGGATTGGCAACTGTACGGGGTCTCTGCTCTTCAGAGGCAGTGTTCCATGGTTTTCCTCTCTTGGTCAGATTCTTTTTTGCTTTGGTGTTGTTTTTGGTTCATTTAGTCGCGCACTCATCCATCTAAGCCAAAGAACGCACGTGCCGGGTCTCAGAAAGTGTGAAGACGAGCAGGCCAGCACCACCCACACACTTGAGTGGACCCCGCAGCTCTATTCAGCGCACAGCTCTGAATAAAATCACGTGCTAGGTCTCACATGCTTACGCGTACCCTACTAAAAATCCCGTGATTTCTTTCCTGTACCAGATGCCCAGGTCAGCCCTCAGTACTCACGGGTATCTGAGCTCATGCGTTCATCTCACCTGCCAGGTGACTTGCCTTTGTGCCTCGGAGGCGGCCTTCGCTGCGGTGTGCGGCCGCGGTCGGGTCGTCACCTGGGGGCATCCGCACTTCGGGGGAGACGCGAAGTTGCACCACTGGGACTGGCGTTGGCAACATGCCCTTTTATATAGCTTTATTGGGTCATCAACGAAAGCAAATGAAAGTAGATGTACAGTATTTGCATACATGTTACATCGATGAACCCAACAAATCGGGGCACCAGTCACGTGAAGAAGCGCGCCGCGTGACCCAGGACAGCGGTGCTGTAGCCGCTCAACTCACCTCGGTGCGTCACGTCGTCGCCACCTGCGCTGCGTTCTGCGCTCTCCGGCACGATGGCTCCTTAGCGACTCGGCGAGGACGCGCCACGCAACGTGAGAACGAAGTCGTTTGTCAGTGCATGGTGATGGTATCCTAGGTGGCTGTAGCGCACATGTTGGGTCAGTTTGGTATATTCTGGTCTTCAGCGGACAGTTGTATGTGTTTTGTTCATTGTTTCTTTTTCATTTTTTTCAGTGTTCAATAGATTTTGGATGCCGCTCTTTGTGGGTAGTCACGTATGAAGAAGCCGACCTCATAAAGAAAGGATGAGTTCTCCCAGTTGGCGTCCAAGACCTTTGGTCACGCGGTCGACCGTGTCCGTGTCGGTGTCGCCCTCGTTGATGGCGGACGTGTTACTTGCACTATCCGATCTCCCGAAAAACAACTTTTAACAGAAACGCACGATGGATCTAGATTCTACATGTCAGGTGCATATGATTTTTCCCCAACTCCCTCCAACCATGTTCCCAGGTCGCTTGGGGCGTCTCCACCTGCGGTGGCACCCTGCCGTCCCCCGCGCCCACCGGCGTCGCCTCCCTCGCCGCCTCCAACGCCGCCTTCGCCGCGGTGACGGAACGGGGAGTGGTGACCTGGGGCATCAGCGGAGGTGGCGGCGATAGCAGCCACTGGGGCAGAAGAGAAGGGGTGACATCCGGTCGACCGGGGCAGGAAGGACGGTGCATGATTCGAAGTGATTTGAGTGGCACCACCAGGCATATTAAGTTAAGTTAGTGCAGGTTCGGAAGAACTTCTAAGGGGACATTGTTAGACACCTCACGACACCTCTGGGCCCTAGTAGGTAGGCACCTGGCGCTTTGTAGGGAGAAGGAGCACCCTTGCCGTGGTATGAGGGAGTCGACTTCCAAGGCGTTCGACCTCAAGCGGCGATCGACCTCAAACACTCTCAGGTCCCAAGATCCACATGGCCTGAGGTTCAAGACAAGCTCACCCCGGCCAGCTTGAGAGCTGGAGAGGTTTACCAAGGCACCCAATGATTTACCAGAGGTGCAGCCGGCCGATGGACCGTTGTTCAACCAATGCTTTTTCAAACCAAGCACATGTCCCATGGAGTACCGTCATTCTATTTATGAGTGTCCCATCAGTAGACCCATGGCTTAATTATAAGACCTCCGTTGGAGGATGATCCCATGGAGTATCTGGGATTGATCATTCCCCCCTTCCGCCCAGGCCGTGTGCAGCCGGAGCTCTACGACGTCCTCCACGTGGTTGCTTCAGCGCGCGCCTTCTGCGCTCTGCGGAGGGATGGGGCGGAGACTTGGTCAGTTTGTGGTTCCAGCAGGAGCGGGGGACTGACCACGAGATCCTGGGCAACGTGTTCACAACATGTTTTGCGCTCTGGAAACACATGGAGCGACGAATAGGACAAGTGTGGACAAGTCAAACGGCTGAGGATACTGTACCATCCAGCCACCGGATGGCATGGGCCAGCAAGCTTGGTCCTTCGAACTTCGGGTGATTTGGTAGCTCCATCTTCCTGCGCGCGGTCGCACTAGGTCGCAGATGGTCAGGGACACGTCCCTGTTGGGGGTCCGATCATCCATGGAACGATCGGCTCACTGTGGGTTCACCAAGAGTTCATGGGCTGGGGCCCACTTCACATATGCGGGGTCCGTTCCTGAAAGAGCAATTGGAGCTCTGGATTGCGTCTTCTCATGGTTTTCACCTCTTTTTCCACTTGAGCCCTTGGATTGCCCCCCCCAAAACGTGCCGAGATCATCACCTGGGGCGATCCCAATTATGGCGCTGCGGGCCCTTCTTCCGCGGCGGCCGTCGACCGCGGGCACGGGCGATGGACCCTAGCGGCCAGCGAGCGGGCCTTTGCCGCGTTGAGTGCGGAAGGGCAGCTGATCACCTGGGGCGATCCGGATGCTGGGCGAAGGTTAGGAAGGTTCAGTACGTGGAAGAGATTATCAGCTGGAATGGGGAGAGGAAATGGGGAATCACAGCAGCTGAACCGCCCGATCGACCTCGACCTCGACATCGACGCGGACAGGCCCACAGGGGTCCAGTTCTTGAGAATACAGCTCAATGGAGTCCAGTTCTTGGTTGGAAACCCCGGTTGCAGCTCAAAGAGCGATCCGGCCGGTCTTGGCCAAAACTCATGGCCCCCAATTTAATGGATTCTGATGGTACGTTGCAGATTGTGGACATTGCTCGCTTTGACACCTAAGGACTTTGGTGGTGATTGCAGTGGAGTGCAAGAAGAGCTGCTGAAACTCTAGATGCGACACACGCCTTCGTCCACCGTGCAAGAAGGACGTCCAAATCAGAAGCGCCACCGGTCAAGCCCGACCCCGAATGACCAGCGGCCGTAGACTGTGCCGCCACCTGGGCGAGCATGTGATCGACGACCCCGGCGGGTTCAACGAAGAATGGACCCTGAAAAGCCCGAATCTTCGCCTGGAACATGTAGACTCGCTGTCGTCGCCGGTTCCGGCCGAAGACATCGACCTGAATGGCTTCGGTGGACTTTGCATACCAGGGGCCATATATGTTGAACAACCACAAGAACCGCTTCCAGCTGCACATAGCTGAATCAAAAAGGATTGGCAAGGCTTCGAGTGTGCAGGGTGAAACACAGTGGTGGACAACGTGGTGTGAATTGCGGATGGAGATTCTGCTAGTTGTTAGTTCAGATGTCACTGATGGCTGTGTGTTGCATGGTGTTCTTTGTAGTGTCTTTCGCCTCTTCCGCCTCCTCATCCGGCAACGGAAATCACCTGGGACCATGGGATTTCCCAGATCAGTTGCCCAAACCTGGTGAACTTCGGCGGTTTGGTCGTACCCAGCTCAGGGCTTGGCGTTGTTGTCGTGGACCGGTCTTCGAATCACTAGTTCGGAGTGGATCCGGAGACGAGTTCGTCGGACAAGGACGAAACATGGAAGGCCCAACCCCCCCCAGGACTGACTCTTTGGACAAACTGTTGCTTTTTGGGGAACCTCTTTTTCAAAGGGCGAGTCAGTCTGAAGAAGTAAGCGACACTGTATTATAAGTATATTGCAGGAGTCAGGCGTAATTAGCAACATGTGACTTTTGCACCCTACTGTTATCTACTGTTGATGCGAAACACCGCCAGCAATGCCTTGAATGGAGAACACCGTAAGAACATATACTATGGTGGGATTTGATCCATCTCAGCTCGTACCGGTGCATTTCATCCCGCGCCGCTAATGTTACAAAAGAGTTTGTCAAGAGCAAATACCTGGTGGCCTAAGATGCTCTGAGAATCTAGTCGGGGCGGATTAATACCTGTCCAAGCCTGTGTTGCTCATGGTGATTTGGGAACCGTTGAGTTTGCCATGTTTCACATGGCACGTGCGAGAAGTATCACCCCTTAGAGTCAAAGGTTGAGTTTCTGGACATCGCTTTTCCCTTGCATGCAGTATTATATATATATATATGAATACCTTTGAATACCCAGTCGTGGAACTCATGCTAAAAACGAGGTGTTTGGAAGCTTTTCACACTCCCTTTCTTCCAGGGAATCCTCCCTGCCGCCGCAGGCGGATTATGTGCAGCGCTTGGAGGGGCTCTTCCGCAGCTTGGCCAAAAGTGATCTTGAAACAAACCTGAGATGTCAACAGGAGAGGACTGGAATCACTGAATGATTGCTTCAAGAACTGGACATCTCAGACAGATCTTGAAGCAATCTTGATTGCAGACTGGAACCTCGAACTCCCAGGCACGGCCACAGGCTCTGTCGGGAACTAGAGTACTAAAGCGATCCGATGGTAGTGATATGTAGTGATGCACTACTGAGGAAGTTGGTTCACTTAGCTTTTATGTTATCCACTTAACATAACTCCGATGTTTTCTTTTTTGTCTCGCTGTGTTTTTGCATTTTTGTTATCTTCAAGACTCACAGAGTTCGCCAACTGGGTCCGGCGAACACACACTGAGATGTTCTCTTGCGCAGGGCCGCGGTGATGCGACTCTACCTGTGAGACCTGTGATGCGTTGATCTCGCCTCCCAGGCACCATCGATGCATCGGGGCAAGGCATGATCAAGGAAGAGAGGCTACAAGAGTTCCTTGGTGCAACAAAAAATGCAGGTGATGTCAAGGGTGTCGCTGTTAGGTTGGCAAGTGCATTACTACTAGTATCTACTAGTAGCAAGAAGCTACCAGTAACAAGTGCATCGCTACTATGTCAAGAGTGTCAAGGGTGTGTGTGGCGGGTTGGGGCTATGTGGGTGGTGCCTTACAGCGACCGACACATGCCGGGAAGGTGTAGTGTAGCCATTACTATTACACCGGAAAAGATCAATTCATTACACCAGGCTGGAAGGAAATCATGGAACTTGTGGTAACAGAACTTCATCCAGGTCCAGACTTCGATATTTTAACATTGGACTTGCTGTTTAGATCTGGAGGGTATCGAAAAGATTCGAAAAGGCTAGTGACGGTCGTATCCTGCAGCATCTCTTCCATCCTTCGCATCCACTCCCAGTGAGTTCGCTGGAGTTGATCCCACGTCGGTAAGCGTCAGACAGACCCAAGATAGACAACCCAAGATAGACAACCCCAAGATAGACAACCCAAGCTTCTGCGTAGGCTATCCTGATCTGTCGCATGTTTTTGGTTTGTTGATGTTTGTCGTCTTGTTTTGGGTGACTTTGAATGTTCATAGACATTAAAGCGAAAGGAGTCCTTCCATCTTTCGGTGAAGGATGGCCCGCAAGGCTGTGATTCTTTCGTTTTCCCGAACTGGTTAAATCATCTGGGGAATATGAATATGTGTTATGTTTGTCCAGGTTCCTTAAGCAAATCCAAGGTAACACTTGATGTTGGCGTAGGCCCCTGACACACTGTGCTTGGACGGTCTGACAGTACTGTGAACAACAACGTAGGGGATGGGTCCACAAGAACGGGGACCTGAACCTGGCGCGATGAAAACCAACCTCACCATCCAACTCATCATCCGTGTGGCGTGGGCCATCCGCGTGCCAGGATTCTGGCCAACCCGAAGGTCAAGGCGCTGTTGGGCCGTGGTCGCCGGTCACCTGGGGTCCTGACCGCAATGGGTGGAGACCGGTGGTGAAGCTGGATGACATCAAGCGATTATGGCTTTTAAATGCTTTGAATATCATGTACAACCCTTTTCATACGGAGGCTTGTAATATATATAGAGTTACAGAATCAAGAGTCTACATTTGAGGGACGTTCTGGACATGAGAAAGACGGGGGTTGCCAAACCAACGGCGCACCATGGTGCCGCACCCGGGAGTTGGACTCATCCGAGGGGCGTCCACCCACGGCGGAGGCTTATTTCCAGACCCTCGAGATCGATGTGCATGAAGGGCATGCTCCTGGCCTGCAGAAAGGGCCAGGCCTTGAGGCTGCTATAGAGCCAATTACCATCCCCCATGATATTCGGACTAGGGAATGGGGTACATAGAAAACGGCCATTCTTTAGTCTCAAAAAGGTAAACTCACCGAGAAGGGGTCAGGAGCCTCATCTTCTAGTGACCTGTAGGTCGCTAGAAATTGAGGATCACAGGTCTCATAGGCATGCTGGCAGGGCCATTTTCTAGACATCACCTTGTTTTCTTGATCCCACCGTGATCATCATTTTCTAGTGGGGGTGCCTCATTTTCTAGCAAACATTCTGTGGAAAAAGCATTTTTGGGAGCCTATACAAAGATACACACCCGATTTACTTTCTACGTTTTTTTGGTAGAAGGCATTTTTGGAGGCTCACGGGGCACCATGCATTTTGTAGGTACTGTAAAACATGTTGCCGAGGCCCGCATTGAGTAGTATTCTTCTCGAAGATGGACATGACATGTCATTATGCAAGGAAAAAGGTTGAAGATCTATATAATTTTGTAATTATTGTTAGGCTATATTACTGTAGGCTATTTGGCTATATGTGCTCAACGCATACACAGTGCTTTAAAGTACATTCTTTGCAACATGCTGACCAAGCATGACCAAGCATGATCCTCCAAGCCACACTGGGTTCGTTCACATGGTGGAGGAGGTTGAAACCTTTGCTCAGCATGCGCAGGATGAAGCGTAGGAAGAGAGAGGAAAAGCAAAAGCTCCATGATATGATCATCCTGGAACCTCAAACAACCAGAAACAATTGGATGTTAATATACGGCAATCAAGGTCCTTTACACAGCAAGTGGTTTTTTGTGGAAACATCAATCAATTTCTGGTTGTTTGGGGTTCCAGGATGTATGATCCGTGAAGCGGGAGTACAGAGCAATGCTATGTCTTGACCGCATTTGACCTCATGGAGCGGTAGCGAAATCAGCTGAAATCAAGATGAAATGATATGCAACACATGACTCTTAAACGCCAAACATATAAACACTTTTAGACAAGAGGCCTCATTTTGTAGACTTGGAAGGTCATATCACTTCTTTTTTATACAAAATGAAGCCTTGATTCCTAAGATGTACGGGAGGGCCCTTCATTCTGTAGAGACTGAACGCGCGCATGCTTTCCGCAAAGTAGCCTTGAGGCCCTAGGCCCTTCATTTAGTAGGTTTTGTGTCGTGATTTTCTCACGTGCGATTTTGTAGCTTTTTCTTCGGGGCTTCCTTTTGTGCAACAAGCTGTTTCTACTACAACATGACTGTCCCAATCCCACGCCCTATATTTTAACGGGGATTCAACAGTATGATTCAGATTGCTGGTCTGCTGGTCGTATGACACAAGAGCAGATCGCGCAGATCAATGTGTTGCCGGACGTCAAGATCACCGGTGAAGGCCCCTAGAGAGTGCCATTTTCCTTCCAAGATCCAGACGATCCTGCCATGATCACATGCCGATGGCACGACTTCCACCGCACTGCCCACACACCGGACTTCCTTAAAGGCAATCTACTTGATCGAGGAGAACTACAAGGAGTGCAAGCAACTAGCTGGGTCTACAACCACTTGTGCCCTCGCTTGGGAGGACCCTCCAATGCTCTTCTTCGTGCAGGCTGAGAACATTCTCGGCCTCATTCCAGAACAGCGCACAGAATACTAGGCCTACTTGAGCCCAGCACTGCTGCCCAATCTGCTGACGGGCCTTTGCTCGTGATCCGAAGCAGTGAGATGTCAGGAGACGCCCTGATCATCCTGGAAGAGGTCTTCTGCGCAACCGCCGCAATCATTGCTTGCCGGCTTCTTGACGTTGCCCCACATCGAGTCCAGCTTGACATTGTGAC